CAGGTGCATGACATCGTCCTGGCTTATCCAATATCCGCCATTTGAGTTCGCATCACATAGCTCAGTCCCAACCAGTCGATATTCTCCAGGGGAAGACTTATCGGAAGAATGGAACGACTGGTTGTCGACTTTTTACCTTTGTGCTTGGAGTACAAACCGCTGTGTACACTGTGGACAGAGGCGTTTAATTACAAATCTCGCCAAGTCAGTCGTGAAATGGCTGCCCACGCAAGGAAAAAAAAGCGAAAAATAATGGAGATCACCGCGGGTGAGGAACCTTAGCAGGCTGGGGGGAAAAAAACGATGCTGCACCGAGCATACAAAGAGACCTTGACCATATTTGAATGATTAACTTGCTGGCACAAGCACCGCAAGACCAGTATTTTGTGGTTGTTTCTTTAGTTTTGTTTTTCGCTGTAAACCACTTAGTCCTTGCTTTTCCGTTTTTGAAAAACTACTACCAAAGGACTACAAGTGATATGCTGTCTTTGAACAAGTTCCCTGCTTACCAAATCCCTTGGAAACTTCTTAGAAGGAGTGTCGATGGTTAAGCGCGGGATATTCCTTCATGGCAATCTACTGTAAACTTGTAATCTACTGTAGCTTTGATAAACGTCTTTTTAATGGCTCCCAAACTTAATCCTATTTTCTACATCTGTGTAAAGAATGGAGCATGAATTTCCATGAAATTTGAATTCGGATAGAAGAGGAAAGTCTTGGAACAATTCGGACGCTTCGTTTCCCCACCTAGCATTCTCACCTTGCGTCAATAGAAGTATTTCAGCATGCCTTCGTATGCAAGTGAATGAGGAGAACAAGTCGGAGTTCTCGCACATCTCTCCCGAACGAGCTTTCGCGGATTTCATATTTGCCCACGTTGTCCTTCATCTGGTCGTTGCCAATTTCCTGGGTTAACTTTACTTTTTCATCAATAAATATTCACGAGTAACAAAAATCTGTGACTTTAAAAGAATTATGGGCTATTTGTGGATTTACCCTGTTAGTATGCTTCCATGGCCGATTTTGTTGTATGTCGTATTCGTTATTTATTTCTTTACTTGGTTGTTATGTCTTTGGAAAATTTTATAATGGTTTTGGAAATAAACTATTTATCAAGTTGTGTAAATCAATGTGATTCGCGTTCATTCGCAATGATTTACTGTATCGTCTATGAGCAAGCAGCAAGTTTGTTATTTATGGTGCACTGGTGTGCTGTCAGTCTCAATTAATTAACTTTTTTCTTTAGAAGTGACAAGATGTACATGAAACCGATGCGCCTTATCAAAAACTCGCTTATGAACCCCGCGTAGTGAGTTACTTTGCTTTTTTTCAAACATCAATGTTGCTCGTGCTTAGCAGTGTACCTTTATTTTGATGACAGTCGGGAGGGACTTGCAATCTTTACATTGGGTTGAATAGGGTCTTATAACGCTTTGAATTTCGCAAAAATAAACGTAAATTTATTTGGAAACCGCGAACCAGGGAATTTATTGTAATTAATGTGTGACAGATTACTCTTGAGGGGTAGAACACATGAGTTGGAAAGAGATCTTCCCTCCTGAAAACTTTTATGAATTCTGTTGGCACGCATAATGTCTGGACATCCTAGGGGGACATTTCGAGGGAAACTAGCTGAGCATCTCGCGGTTTAGGAAAGACGCCTTTCACTCAGCGTACATCCTCTTTTTGCGAATCCCTCCTGAGCGTTGTATTGGGCCGTTGGTTGACAGTGAAGGCGTACTCGATACAGAGAATTTCTATTTGTTTTTCCTGTTTCACGAGCGCTTTTCCCCCCTCTTAATCTTCGCAGAATTATGGGCAGTGGGGCCATCCTCCATAATTGTGATAAAATAGGGGAGAGCTTCAGTATAAGGGCTGCAGTAAGCTGTAGAAAATAGTCGCACCGTGAACCTCTTCCTATGGTGCCGTGCGAATCCGTCCTTTCTTAAATCGTGGCGATGTGCCCTGCTTTCACTATTCACAACATCACTGTTACTAGTGAGTATCATAGTTTCTAGTGCGGCAAAATCTTGCTCGAAGGCCCTGCTCTCAGAACCAAGTGGTATTTTAGTGGATCGACTGCGACACAAGGGTACATCTGAATCGGTGCTATAGTGAAAGGCATTGAATGACATCTATGTTTTGAGACAGTTTGCTGCAACATGGAGTCCATTATGTTTGACAGAACATATAGAACGGGAAGTTTTGTTTAGTTTGGTCTGAGGCAAGCAACTCTGGGCACTCTCGTAGGGGGAGGGGATCACTCGCCAGGGCTTCTGTATCCATTTCCCTAACCAAGGCTTGGACTTAGTAGAGGCTATGTTTTTTTTCTGCGGGACTGTAATTTGGGGATTGTGTCATCTGCACTCTAGGCTTGAGACTATTTGGGCAAAGAATGGAGAGGCGCGGTAGAGTGGTCCCTTAACCACAGTAGCGCCCAGTTACGCCTCAGGAAGTGAAAAGTGAGCTCTTGTTGTTATGTTCGGATTGGGAAAGCGAAATTTTCTTCCCCTTTCAGTAACAGAGGGACGAATTTCGTAAAATTGTAAGAGTTTTCACGAGAATGCTGATTTATGGGCAAAAGCCAGACCTCAGGCGGGATTCGAACACCATCTTCTACTGACCAGGCGAGCGCGCTATTCATTACGACTCGCACGCGACCGATTTTCCCCTTTCAGCACACTGGCCTTTTGTGCAACAGCCTTACAGGGTACAGCATGGGGATGTGCGAAATGTCGGTGTGAGTACCCCCCCCCCCTTCGAATGGGGTCCAGGCACGACCCCCCTCCCAGAGCAAAAGTACGACCCCCCCCCATGGGTTTGACACAACGATGCTGTACCCTGGTCTTACAGCAGTCACACGTTTAGCGCGATGAACCAGTTAACCGATATCGGCAGTAAACTGTGACGCTGAGGGCTCCTCATGTTTCCAAGTTGTTTTTTAATCTGTTAACCGCAGTTTAACGCCGCAATTCGCGCTACGAAATAGAAAAGGTTATGTAGCGGGTTTTCCTGTGATTAGATCCTTTGGCTTGTGTATAGACCGATTACTGACCAGTGGGCTCGCCGGCGGCTCCTTCTGTAATACGGCCCAGCTTCACCGCGCGCGCTTTCTGCCATTTGGTTCAATACGCTACTACTGCTTTTTTTAACCTGTACACATAGTCAACGCTCCTCAACCAGTAGTGTCACACTTCCTACTTTCAACACAATTATCGTTTACGGAGTGGTGATAAGGAGCGTTGACGTGCACATATGAGAGAAAGCCGAATATTATTCGGCTATCCACACATACGAAAGAAGCCACGCTCGGCAAAGCCATGCCCGCTCGACGAAGCCTGGCCATATCACAGAAGAAGGCGCATCGGCGAGCCGACTAGTATCAATTGGGCCTGTGACGATCGGTGGATATGACTGACTGTGCACTGAACTTAATCAAAAAAATGAATAGCTTGAAGGCAAGCTCGGCTCTGCCCACTATGAGCGGGTCTCAACACACTGCAGACGCGGTCAACTCTTGCCAGACGTTCCTTTCTCCAACGATTTTTTTCCAATCGTCGAAATCTCCCAGGACCAAGTCATGAGGTTTTGTAGCAAGTACCGTTCATCTCAGGTGCGGTCAACCCTTATCGTGGATGTCCCCAATGTGTCCACTGTACCCTTGATGACCTCACTCCACTCTTCTTCCCGGTTTCCTACTCTACGTACTCTGCAACCGATTCCTAACTTTCAGGTTTTTGCCCACCCCTCCCCCCCCTTCCCAACTTGACGCATGCTCCGCCCCGCAGTGGGCACCTCTTATTTCACTAGTCAAACTCTTGCACACCTTATTCATTTTTCACGGTCTCTCGGTGCTCTGGAACCAACTCACAAATTTTGGGCTTTGGCTCGGCAACCCTGTCACTTTTTCCAGAGTGCTTTGGAATGGTTCTGCCATTTTAGATCGGGCTCCGCTCATCTCGGCGCACGCTCCGCCCACCTCGGATGTTCCTCCTTCTTCCCATCCGGTGGCCCTTCACTAACTTTGGTTCCATTTTGCTGGTTTGCGGAGGGCTTTGGAACCAAACTACAATTTTTTGGCATGAAAGCCTCACGTTTGAGGAACGATTCGCCTACTGTGGGCGCGGTCTCAACACACCACACCACGGGCAACTCAAATATCAGCAGATCCTTATGTTCTTCATCGACTTCTATGCGAACTCCGAGCTCCCTTGAAAACCAAGCTGCTGAATTTCTTGGGAAGCACCGCCCATTTCAAGTGTGCCTCGCCCTGTTAGTCTGCCAACCTTTCTGCTAACCTTATCGCATTTTTCCCTAACTCTGGACTGCTTTGTAAGCGAATTACGAATTATGCATCGCCAACTTTCGGCGCATGTCCCGCTCACTGTAGGCAGCGGCTTCACATAGGTCATGTGTGCTTTATATATCTTGTCCCATGCCTTGCCTATCCCAACCTTTACCGACGTTTCCAAGCTGCTTTTCAGGTAGAATCCGAACTTCCGGGACACAAAGAAACAGACAGTCGTAGCAGATTATACGCAGTTGCTGCATTGCTTCATAATTTTGCAGGGCGAGTATATAGTGTGGTTCGCTGCGGACGCTTGGGCGTGTCAGGCGGGATGGTTTGGCGCGGTGCCAAACCCGTTCTCCACCAGTTGTTAAAGCGAGCAAATGATATGACTGTATCATATCGTTCGTATTACTCGTTTTCTACCACTTTTTGTCGCATGCGCGCTTCAACAAGAAGGCAGAGAACGGCTTTGACGGTGTGAACACTCATACTGCCTGACACGCCCAACCGTCCGCAGCGAACTAGAGTGTAACTTTTCCACATCGCTATGGCGTCTAGCAATCGGTAATGAAACGGATTCACAGTGACGCTCAGGGACGCACTACTTGATATATTGACGTACTCTTGTCTGAAGTGGTCGGACCCAGAAACCACATTACCTTGAACTTGCACACTTTGGACTGCACGATGGGTAAATATGTTGTATTGGCAAACCAAGAAATGGCGTTTATCAGATGTAAATGATGTAATATGCAATTGTATATTTTATTGGGAGAAAATGCGCAATTTTGGTCAGTATTCTTGTTATACTTAAAAGTTTCACTGTATATCGGTTAGCAGCAGGAGATAGCAAGTTATATTCGCTTAAGAATAGGATATACGTAAATTCTTAATTTGGTCCATGATAGATAGTTGCGCATCATATTTACACCTTTCTCTGGCTAGAATCGATTTTATATCGTCTTCATTAATTAGACCGCCCGCTGGGGTTGTGAGTGATATATTTTTTGAGTTTGCTTGGCGACGCGTCTCTTTGCTCTAAAACGCGACAGGGCGCGCAGAGACTGTTCCGTGTGACTTTCCATGTGGGCCGGTCTACTACGAGAAAGTGGTGACACGATACCATGTGTGACCGAATACGCGCCACGTATCGTTAGTGGAGCGATTCGAATTCCTACAGAAGCAACAACTTCATGGCAAATTTGTCCTTATTTGGTAAATAGTACACTGAGCGCACACAATGAAATGTAGCGAGTGCAGACCTGTCTCTTATCACTCTCTTGTTTCGCCCTAATAGGACCAATACACTAATCAATGCCTTTGAATAACATGTTCAGTGGAAATAGATGCCTTACCGGGCGCCTACAGCAAAGTTGTGTTCTATAACATCGCGCCACGCCACGTGTCTGATAAGATGCAAGACACTTTCTTGATAACTCGAACAGGGCGTCGCTAGATACTTAAGCAAGCTTAAAACTGAATACTGGAAGTTACCTCGTAGCTTCGTCCCTTGGACTTCGCCGAGTAGGTTGGAGTGGCAGAGTTCGGTCCATACTCATTCGTGTAATCGAGTCCTATACAATCTTTTCCAAAGCGAAAATGGAGGCTGGGCGACTACGTTTCAGTAAGATAGCGTAATTAGTTCAAAATCACATTTTGACTAATAGAAATTATCTAGAGCAAAGTGAACGGTTGATTCTTAGACTCTCATAACAAAACTTTTGAAGCAGAGTGACGCTGAACTTCTGGCTCGATCGGTTAATACTACTTCTATGTAAATCGTCCCCTTAGAGTTTCATTGAAGACAAGTGAGAAAGGCAAAACCTCGGCGGACGGACGGCACGAGAAACTCTTATGCAGAAACTAGGAGGTGCTTGTTATAAATCACTTCTCGGCCGAAAAAGAGGACGCAAACGGCAGATTAGCCTGAAATCCAAAATAGGGCCATGTCATGCATAGCGGTTGTAGTTGTTAGGCGAAAGGAGAATATATAGTCGCAATTCGTCGCGCTCCCGCAGGGGCCCACGCTTCAAGTGGTAATCGGTCGAGAACTGGAAACTTATGGCAAGAAGTAGACATAAAATGTTATCGTGTCCTTGTCTACATTAAACCCAAATGCTCCACTCCTGACCGATAACTCAACGCGAATTCGACAACGCGCTAAGAGTGAGACTCAGCAAACTAGCTAAGCCGATAAAATATCATGCGTACCATTGGCACTAGGTGGGAAGATCGCCGTGTTAATTATGTGGACTACGACAGCAATCTTGTGGTGGAGGCACTCCTGTGTGAGCTCGACATAATTTTAGAATATGCCCAAAACGTTGTAATTCGCAAATGCCGCCTCTATGAACAGAAATCTTGGTATGTAGAGGAGTGTAGTTTAACCAGTCCTGATCCAGCGAATATGACATTCACTCAGACTTCGCTAGCCCCTGTCTGGGCGCTAGATCGAGATTGAATATCACTGTACGGCTATTCACTGTCCTCCCTGCGCGAATTCGGCTCTCTGCTATGCATGAGTTGTGAGCACGCCGAGAGAAGTTAATGCGCGTAGTGTCATCGATTCCGTTGAGGACACTGACAAGTGACGCAAGAATGTTGTGTCCATAGTGAGAGTGTCAACGTATGCCATACGATAGTAAAACTAAAGCTCATTCTTATGTGAATACAATTACGTGATTTTTATACGCGAGAGGTGGGTCAGTGACTCAAAGTACATTATAATGATAGAACTGAGACTATCGGAGTGTGCCGCAGGTTCTTGTGGATGTTCCATACCGGAGTCATTGAGGCGCACACTGTTCCTAATCTCTGTCGTGTGAATGGCAAGGCGCACAAAAAGCTGCGACCCCATATACACTATGAGGTTTTTCTTGTACGTCTCCGTCCTCTGGCGAGAGAAATGTCAGAATACTGCTGGCAAACAAGCGGGTGACGAAACTAGGCGAAACCGTCTGAATTGAGGGAGTCAGCATTGTGATCTCTGTGTCTGCATAATTTCTATGATTAAGATTAGGATCTGCGTACATAGCTCTGCAGAAACATCGGAGTGTTGAATTCTCTATTCTGAGCCCTCGTTAAGCAGTAATATCACAAAATGTAGGGGAAACAGTCAGACATACTATGTGTTTGCATTGATTATCGCTGATACTGGCGTTCTCAAACGAGAGTAACACACAATATAACAGTAACGTTCTTGTATATGGTTTAGAGGTCACGATGGAATTGACGGCCTGTATGGTACGTTAATGAAATTTTAGTATTTTTATTTTTATTTGTGCTTTCGGGTGGGTATTTGTTTTCGGTTGCGGTGGAAAGAATGGGTTCATTGATTCGTTGAGTAGTGATTCAAGAAATTACCATGGTGACTCATTCACTCCGATTTCAAGGACGAATTTCGTTCGACGTTGTTGTGGTTTGTGGGACCGGTTTTTTATGGATTAAAAAACAGCGTATAGTTGAAAATTGCGAAATGAGTGCATCAACGTTCTTCTCTCGATTGTTCATATGTAGTGTCAATAGAGGGCCTGTTTAAGCAGCAGTCACCGTGCTAACGAATTTCGAAATTCACTTTGTGTTCTCCTCACGTATTGGCCCGCGTTTTTTGTGAACGCTTCTTACAGGTTTTCATTTATCTTAGATAATGCTCAAATTTGTATTACGGCTGTCTGATACCGCACAAGCGGATGCATTATTCTCGGAAGCATACGCTTGCCTCGATCAAGGATTATGCTATGATGAAGACAATGATAGAGTGGGTTTCTTCTTAGCCTTTTCTGATTTTGGAGATATAGTAATGTAGAAGTTTTTTTTTTATTTCGGAGATATATAATACTGTAGAAGGGTTTTTACCGCATGTCCAACAGTCTGCAGCCGAAAGCCTGAGACCCGAATATTCATAGATTTATTCTGTAATTATTCTCGGGTTGGTGGGGTCAGCGATGATTATTTGTGCATCAGCGCGATCAACACAAGGCATGTGAACATGGGATAAAGGGTTCGTCCTAGTTGGTGTCTCTTTGGGTGCTCTATGCGCTCGCTCGGTTTGCCCTATAGAGTTTGAGCTCATGCGGATGCCTTTTCCGCCTTCACACTAACGGCGAGGACTCGCTACTTTTCGCGTCGAAGTGACTTGTTTCTTTCGGACATGTACGGGGCTAATCAAGGCGCTACCTTTCGGTTGGCAGAAGCAACCATACACTGCTTTTACCAGTCTTCCTCCTTTCGCTCTTTGATTTCATAACTTCAAAATAATCCGGAATTCTTTTACCTCCGAAAATTATGCGTAGATAGTGACATGTTTTAGTGTGGCGCCCTCCATTATGCGCATTCGACACGCAGGTGCGGTGTGCGAAAGCAGATTTTTCGCGGTTGAAACCGATTACGATTATTTTTGTTGAAATGCGGCTGTTCAGTTTGGCGGCTGTTCACTGTTACAAACCTTGCGCCCTTAAGAGTTCCTATTGCTTTATAGTCGGTAGATTCCCTTAGACCGGATAAGACTGACGCTTTTGCCACAGCATTCAGCATCGCAGTCACTTTTTGAATGCGATATGAGTGAGTGGTTTGCGCCGTTCAGCCGATATACTCCGAGGTTTGAACTCCCGACCACGCGCGCTATAAGCGGCGACTAATCCTGATTGATACTTGAAAATTGTTCTCTTTCACGCCCTTTCAAGCAACTTGTTACTTCAAAATGTGTTTTACGTTCAGGAAAATGCTGCCGCTATGTACGAACGAGCACTGAATCTTATTGCGGAAGCTGAAAAGTCGAAAAATGCCAAGAAAAGTGAATTGTACAAGAACCTCATGGAAGCGAAGCCTAGTGCAGCTCATCGGTAGAGGTTCTTTGCTTGTAGTTTTTGCTTTCTCTTTATATGGCCCTTTACAGACTGAAGGTTCTTGAAAAAGAAATAGCTGAGAACAAATCGGAGAAAGCTGAAGGTGTCTATAACGAGAAACATGAAAAGGTGAGTGTACTTGGACGTTTTTTGTGAACTCTTATTTATCATAAGCTTTTCATTTATTATTTGCTTGCTATTTCTATCATTTGCTTTGTATGAACTAAGGTTCTCTTCATAATGTAGGAGAAATCTGAGCTTCGAGATTGTTTGGAAAGTGTGGGGGATGCGGAAGCTGAAGTGATTTTCTCGATTCCCGACGGGGTTCAACTTTTCACTATAGACGTGAGTGTATTTCGTTTCCTTTCAGTGTGGTGCCATGCACGAAGCGTTGGAAATTTTCAGCACTGATAGAGCTGTATATTTTTCATTTTTTAGGGAGATGAGACTACAGTTCCAACGTATCCAACATCCCTCCAAATTCTTCGCTTCAATAAAAGCGATTCTGCTTCGAAGCTTCCAAGCGCTCCAGCGGATGCACTGATACAGGTTGATTCGCACTGAAATTTATCGTTTCCCATGTCACGATTTCTTTTGTGGCAGTGCCCTTTCTCACTTGTACGAGACCAAAGTAGAACCTTTCCCAATGAGGAAATTTGGGTGCAGCGCGGCTTTGTGGGGCATCGAATGGTACCCAACTAAGCCTGCGCTGGTTACCTTGTGAAGACCGGTAAACTCCTGTAACTAGAGGGACTCATAAAACAATGTCTTCCGGAGTTTGCTGGTCTGAGAAAAGTGAGACCAGTTTGTCGGCATGAGCCAACGAGAGCAACCAGCAAAAGTGCAAAAGCCTTTACCAGCCGGACTGCACTGAGGTTTGGTACAACGGCAGTGCTGGGCGTATACGTTTTAGTGGCGTTCCAGTGCAGTGAGTCAACCACAGTTGGTCGACTGGCTGTGTTGTTCGCGCTCTCTCATAAAGACACTCCGTTTCTGGATTCCTTTCTTTTCTCGAAAGACAACGCCGCGCTAGTTTATAAACCACTTTTTCGTTCGTGGAGTGAGTTGATGCAAATGAGTCAGACCCTTTGCGTATTGCTTCGGAAGTGCATAATTCCAACTTTAAGATCGTTGAATATCTACAGATAGGATTGTAAGACACTTCGTTTCAGGTTGGCCCATGGGTTTACCCCTTGGTTATAGGAAAGACACCCGTGTTACGCAATGACTTTGGCGCCTATGTTGTTCCGAATCCGATTCAGGATAATCCAAGTGAGTTTCTTTTTCCTCCTGTAAGAATGTCGTCTCCGCAGCAGCACTATCGCATCCAAATTGCGGTCTGAGATCGCATCCATACTCTGCGACTTGAGCGGTTCAGTCACGCCTCGCGTAAAATGCTTGCAGTCACATACGCGGAGGTTTTTTTTGCTCGGCAACAGTTTGGGTATTTGTCGCGTAACCAGACATTATTCGCCACCGTACCGAGCGCGATATTTTTATAGTACTCTTTCGGGATTCAGTTGAATTTTTCTGAACATTTTTGAAATTAATTCATTCTTGAAATAATTCAGCGAGTGGATCGGTCAAGGATATTTTTGCCTTCAACTGCCTAATATGCGCGCAGTCACTGAGATTTTCTGTGAAGATTATGATGCTGATGCTGCGCATCTCTGTCGCATTTGTGCTGTCCTGCTCTAGTCGGCGCGAGATTAAGCGACAGGAAGCATAGCATCGGACCAGAAAAAAGCTGTCGTACGAATTTTGGGGCTTTGTGTTCATCTGTTTTTTTTTTGTCCAGTATAGAGTGGGTGAGCTTTCAAAAAGGGTATTTCATAAAAGATACGTATGAATTAGCCTACCTTGAAAAACGAGAATTTTAAGTACACTGCGAAGAATAATCATAGTTCCACCCATGAATCTCACAAAAATGCCCCCATACAGAAAATGTGGTAATTACCAATACCAATTCGCATGCCAACACCAAACTCTAGCTTGAAAAAACAATTTTTTTCGTCAATTTTTTCAAAAATGGTCGTTCTGACAACGCAGCAAAAATATAGTTCCACCGCATATTTTCCGGCTGCATCTCATTTTTGTTCGGTGAAACTTCTCATCATTATGACTTCTTGCCTCTTCTAGGCTATGGCAAGTGGAACTTCATTAATGGACCTCGAAAAAGGACAGATTATCGCAAAGAAGACTCAAAAACTGGTGAAGCGTCGATCGCTCGGGATTCGGGCCGCACTCATCATTCTATCAACAATTTTTTCCAAGGGACCTACAGCATATTGAGTTGAGAAGAGCTCTGGACATCCTCCTTTGCTGCCCGATCGGAATAACCGCCGTATCCTTAGGAAAGCATCCAACTGCAGTGTCGTGTCGGGAAATTAAGTCATCTTCGCAGGTTAATGTCTCGGAGGATACTGTTAGGCGTGTCTTGGAAAACTCCCGAGTTCACCCATAGGAGGAATGAGTTACGTACTGTTTCTAACAAAAAACCATCGCGAAAACCTAATTGGCTTTGCTCGAAGATGTTGCCGAACCCAATGGAGTGAGGTTGGCTTTTGGCTGCGGTGCCCTACTGCTTGTCTGTAGTGTTTTTCAGTTTTTTTTCTCGCCGTGTTTTCTGATGAGAAAAAATTCAACTGCGACGGCTCCGACGAAAACCGATTCCGCTGGCACGACCTGAGGGAAGACAAGTTTCATTTTTCCGGGCGGAACTTCAGTGGATGTGGTCTCATGGTCTGGGCTGCCAGGACGTCTGAAACTGTTTTGTAAACTGTAAACCCGTTTTAATGCAGGATAATGCACCAGTTCATGACAGTCGAAGCACTCGAGCGTGATTCAGTTGTCACCAAACCGCTCTTTTGCCCTGGCCAGCGAGTAGCCCCGACTAAAACCCAATCGAGGATGTGAGGGGCTTCATGGTATGATCCATGAGAGTAATGCACAATTCCACAATGTCCGTGAGCTTAGGGAGTAATCATTGGGGCAGTCGGCCGAAAGCCTATTAAAATCTCTAATCGAACATGGGCAACCGTATTTTCCAACTTAATTGGAGAAATAGAGTTCCAATAGATTACTGGATCAAAATTTATTCATTTTATTGTACATTTGTTGTTGGAATATTCGATTTGTTCGGTGGAACTATCATTTTGCTGCGTTGTCAGAACGACCATTTTTGAAAAAATTGACGAAAAAAAATTGTTTTTCAAGTTAGAGTTTGTTGTTGGCATGCGAATTGGTATTGGTAATTACCACATTTTCTGTATGGGGCATTTTGGAAAACTTCGTGTAAGACAGGATTTTGTGAGATTCATGGGTGGAACTATGATTATGCTTCGCAGTGTAGTTCCACGTTTCAGACTTGGCTGTTGCCATTATTCTGCCGGCTGACGCAGGACCACAAGTTGAGAAGGAATTCCGTGAGGTAACGAAACGCGTTCCCATCATGCACTCTCCATCTTCTTGATCACTGTCTAGGTTTTGGGACAATTTGCTGATTTGCGGGATCAAAATCTGAAGAAGGAGCTCTCCGAAGAAGACAATAAGCGTATCAGCAAAAAAATTGCGAAGCTGCTGATTACCGGTTGGTTTTTAAGGTTTTGTAAACAGAGGAGGAAACAAAAAACAACTCCAAATTCTCTGTTCACTTTCAAGCTGCTGTTCAAATTCATCCTTGGAAGTGAACAATTTATTCGTAACATGCTTGAGTAGTGCTTTAATTGACTGCTACTTAAAATTTTTTTTGCATTTTCAAAGACAAAGTTGGCGTGGGATCTTACTGAAGTATGATGATGACGTGATTCTCTTTTACATATGCTCTCATTAACATAAGTTCAGGTGGTGAGCGCGTGGCTTGGGGAGTGGAGACAGCTGCTGTAAAAGTAACATCATACATAGACGACAGAGGCGAAAAGTAAGTTATTCTAGGCTGAAGTCCAGCTTCATAAGCTCAATTTTTTTTCAACGTCTTTATTGGCAAATTCTCGTGTTTAAATGCTACCACTCTTAGTATTCTCCAGCTTCTCTCTTCTTGCAACCTCGGCATGTTAGTAGTGAGTGTTTTAATATTCTTGTGCCTTACGAGGTTGTTAGGTGGAACATTTATTACAAATGGCCTAACGTTTCGACTTAATCGTCGTCTTCAGAGGCCTGAATGTGTTTCAAGCATTAGATATGCAACCTACCCCACCAAGCACCTCGTCAACTCTAGCGGTTCCGACGTCGTGTCAGGAACCCCTCGAGAAGACGCCAATATCGCAAGACAGAGACTCACCAGTGGTTCCACCGTTTGAGCGGATAGGTCCGCTGCCACACTAGAGCGCTGTCAGTAGAAAAATGAAGAATACGACGTCTCTCCGTATACGTATTCTTCATTTTTCTACTACAGCGCTCTAGTGTGGCAGCGGACCTATCCGCTCAAACGGTGGAACCACTGGTGAGTCTCTGTCTTGCGATATTGGCGTCTTCTCGAGGGCGTATCTAATGCTTGAAACACATTCAGGCCTCTGAAGACGACGATTAAGTCGAAACGTTAGGCCATTTTTAAAAAAATGTTCCACCTAACAACCTCGTAAGGCACAAGAATATCCAAACAACCACTCTTAGTATTTTTATCGTCATGTCTTCCTCTCAGGAAGGAATCAGTAGCGCTGCTAGCACCTCTGCTTACCCATAAATGTGCATGGTCCGTTTGCATAGTGGGATGACAGCAATGCGGACCGACTCGACAGCAGGTTATGGAAAGCAGGAGCTGCCATGGCCTCTTAGGTTGGGAGACCCGGGGAAGTCTCCACGAGCTTGGCCATTGAAAGCTGACAAAACTTCTTTTAATGAGTGTCTACTGCCCACAAGGCATCCTTTGGTAGCTGGTTACCTGGGTCCACTACAGATCCTTCAAGAAGAAACGGTGGGATTAATGATGAAATAGGAAAATAGAAATACGTTGAAGAAAGAACTCGCTTGAGAGTGGGGAAAAGGAAGTTAGGTATAAAAAAGGGCCCCGAAGAGGGAGTAAATCGAGGTGTAATGACGTAAGGTTGGGACAGAAAAGAATAGTAGAGGCCGTGAAAATGCTAGCCCGAGCAGTAGATGTAGATATGGAGAAGTATTGAGATTGCAGTTTGTATGCTACATGGAAAGGGGAAGAAATAGGAGGAAAGGGTGTGAGTTAAAAAGAAGAAGAAGGTTGTAGTTGCAGTAGAAAGCTAGATAAAGAGTTTTGGAACTAAAGGCACGTCCCATCAAAAATGGTGGGCAGCGGGCTTAAATACCAATGATGAGGTGGTAGTAATTGACTGGTGAGGAAAAGAGCGAAGAAGATGTCTAGAAATGTCCTGGATAAGTCCCATACTGGAGCTGTACGAGCATAAGGCGAAAAGACTGTGGTCACCGACAGGTTTTCAGTTGTTGGTAACAATACGGTATCAATTCTTTTGATCCCAATCTCACGACTGGGAATGGAAGGAGTAAGTAGTGGAATAGCTACCAGCTAGCCGCTAGAAATGAAGGGTGCGGTACGGAGCAGTGGGCGGGGCATTGCTCGCGATTGGGTGATCTCGTTTTCTCGTTTTTTTGAGCCGCAGAAGTGATATATTCTCTACACCAGCGACCGGACCACCCTATCCAAGCACGGTGCCACACAAGGTAACGCGGAATGTGCGGTTAAGCCACTGAATAACTAAAGGATGAGAGCTAGTGTCGCTACATATGCGTTGAATAGTTAGGACTCGGCAAAGGAACAGATCTCCAAATCGGCCAACAGAGAAACAAGTCATAAAAATAGGATACGCAGGGAAATGTGCTGATTGTTGAGTTTGCTGTGAAGTTATCGTTTTTGTTTAGGTATCGATCTGGTCTGGCTCCCACTGAAAAGCCCATGACCATAAATCCAGCACTGAAAGGAAGTTTGGTGTACATGCACAAGGGATCAAAGCTCGTTGCGAAATGTACTCGATATTTGTGTAAGTTACACATGGCGTTTGCTTTTTTTCCTAAAAATAGAATTCGAGCATGTCAAGCTTATTCTGGTTTGCTCAAGGTCTTGATAGTAGTGGTTATAGAAGCAAGATATTCTACAGTAGGTGATGCATGTGTGAGAAACAGTCGGCAGAGTTGCAACACTATTGAAAGAAAAGCCTCCGCATCTGCATAACTTTTTTGAAAATTAGTTTTCAGTGGACAAAATTGGAGATGTGGGAATATCCATCGGGCGGTCGCTAGCAAGTGGTGCGGAAAAGACGTTGGGTAAAGGCACTGGTGGTGGACTCGTGACTGGTACTATATGTGAGTTTAATGCTTCGTTACGATAAGCGAACAGCTCGGGCCCTTTAGACACAGTGTTATTTTACCTGAGCATTAAGTATTACTATTTTTCTAGAATTTATCTTCCATTTTAGCTGTGCTCGGAGGCGGTATTGTTGGTGTCAGTACAGTGTGGATGGCTCTTGAAGATAATAGCCGTACACTTTGTCGAAATATTGCAGATCAGACTGTGCAAAATGTCAAGATAAAGTAGGTCATCTGGTTCCTTTCTGCGGATGAAAGTGGGAAGCGTCAGTCATGCTTAGGCTGCGTTCAAACTTTGCGACTCGGGAGAACCTGTGTTTTGAGAAAATAGGCAATTTGGGGAAGTGCGCAAAAACTAAAGTACAGGTATCGATCTGGATTTTCACGATAATAAAAGAATCGTAGTCATGGAGAGTATGGGAAAACAGGATAGTAGCAGACTGAGGCGCAGGGCACATCGTTGTTGGGGAATCCCCAATAGGGGGGTCGTATTTGGCCGCCAGGAGAGGGGGTCGTATTTGGGCTGGGAAAAATTTATTTTGATAGTTGATTTTTCTCGCTTCACGGACGTTGTAAAGGAGGGGGGGTCGTACTTGGTCATTGTTGGGAGGGGGGGGGTCGTATTTACGTTTTGGCGTTGTAGGAGTGGTGGTTGACTTTTGGTGATTTTCCTGTTTCATGCGTACTATATATGCCCCCCCCCCGCTCTCGACAGCAAAATTTTTGGGGAAAAGTAGGGAACTTTTCGGGAAATTTTGGAAAAAAAGTGGCAGGAAGTTGGGGAAAATCTGAAAATTGGTAGAGGGGGGTCGTATTGTCTCTTTTCCTGTTTCACATGTGTTGTTGTTTCAGTTTTCAGTTGTGTGTTTCACACCCCCTCCCCCTCCCCGCTCGACGGCTAGACTCGATGAGGAAGGACAGAAAGCGGGGGGGTCAAAAAAAGGGGGGGGGGGTCGTACAGACTCGACTTAAATTCCCAACCAATTATGTGCCCTGCTGAGGCGTCATATAATAGCGAAATTTATCATCGTGACTTTTAACGACATTTACCTGTCTATTCTCGCAGAATGGATGGATCAAAACCCATTCTTTCCTATTCGCTCTTTCTCCCAAGGCGCTGATTCTCCGGGGGTACTGTGTGCAATACACACGCGGTGGGCGCTTCGCGCAGTTTTGAAAAAGAAGACCCCTCCGCGGAAGAGTTCTGCAGAAAAAGGTTGTGATAGCCGAAAGCGCTGATTCTCCGAAGACTCCTTTCTCAAATTCGCAAAGTTTGATCGTAGCCTTCTGGAGAATTTGCTTCAACTGATGTATAGCCTTCTTTGTTATGTAATCAGCATAGATTTATCGAGCCATGGAATCGTTGTAGTAATTTGTTACATGGTCGCTTTTCAAGGTACGGAGACGAAGCATCAGAAGCGGCACATCACGCTCTCTTTGCTGCTGGTCATAGTTCACTGGCAGCAGCTCAACTGTGGGATCTCGGACCTCGCAGTATTGCTGGACGTATGGCTAGGCGTGCTGGAGTGCAGGTAAAATGAAATATGTGAAAAACTCTAGTCATATCGTACGCACTGTCGATTTAGCTGGTGAGAGATCTGTCATGAAAACGTGCGGGAGAACCACTTCCAATCAATATCAAAATTGAAGATGCAAATAATATTTATACATAAAAGTTGTTTTTTTTTTCGAATTCTTGTGCCTGAAATAATATACAGGCATAGTAAATATGATACACCAGTCTAGCCATTCTGATCTTTTCCTATAATTCTTGTCATCTGCTGCAGCATGTTCCCGGCCATGCTCTGAGAAACTTTCACTGGAGGACAGTTTGTTAAATTGATGTTCCTCTGTTTGTTTTGGCTTGTATTCCAATTTGTACAAATTTCTCTGCATGTTGGTGTCTGTGGTCACCCCGTCAGTGTGTCACTGGATCATATAAAGACTACATTTTCTATTCGCAAAAGCGTTTGATTAATGTGGTGCTGACTGAAGGCTTGTTCTGTATATAACAACGAAGTTTCCTCCTTTATAGTTTTCTCGATTTGCGGTGACGTAATAAAATATTCACAATCGTTTTTGTTGGTTGATATGCACAAGAGTAGAAGCTGTGTTTTATCCCGGAACAGATTTAATCATTGTTTTTTCGCAACATGCTTAACCTCGCTCATCAGAATCCATCGCTAGGATGTCAAGACTGTAGTTCAGCTGTAAGGCAAATGAGAAGAAGAGGAAAAGATGAAGTTAAGTTATGCTATTTGTCACCCTATACCATCCATTTTTTGAATGTCTAGTTGAGGTTTCGAGTCTCCGGGTGAGGCTGTCCAGCCACAGAGGTTTCAGCGCCTGCCGAAATCATTAAGGTGATGCCAGGGTCTTCTTTTCACATGAATGAGGAACATACGAACGACTCATCCTGTTCTATGAAGTCCTGGTTTCGAGGGGGCGTAAAACCTTCTAAAGACTTGTTTTGTGAAATTTTCAAAACTTGCGTGTTATTCATTAAGGATTTTGTTAGGCCCAATAACATCTGTCGGTATGCGGTGGTTCAAGAGTTCAGTTGAGTAAAACGATAGTGAAGGTATCTGTATTACTTCATTAGACATGTTTACCGTGACGGTGAAATATACCGCTTGCGGCTTGGGAGTGACTAGCCCTGTGGAGATAATTGCACGGCTCTCATCATTCCACCCGCTTCTGAATTCCCGGAAAATAAGAATCTGAAAAAAGTAGATTCGGATGGGTTGATGTATAAGATCGCTAACGAAACGGAATAATATTCTCCTAAGTTTAAATCCTACATGTTGTGGGTTAAAGGCGCGCCCCGGGTCCGAGAGTGACGTGTTGTCTAGTTCAAATACTGATGACAAGGTAGCGAGTAACACAAAAGTGAAGGAAGAAGCAGAACAGTCCTTCCGGAAAAGTCCTTTGGAGAACCCCAGTGCATAAGGTAAAGAAAGGGCGTGGTTGGATGAGTCCTCACTTATTGGAGCCAGAGCTTTCTCCTTATGACCTCACTCTCACCATTCGTAATGGAGAGAGTTAGTAGCGAAACACCCGTACCATCAGGAGGCAGTTAGATACGAATGTTGGGCGTTGCCGTGGACAGTGGGTGGGGCCGGCGGCTTCCTCGCAGCGGGTCGCGCTTTCTTTAGGTATATTTTAGCTGTGGAGGAGGCACATCCCTCATGCTTGCGGACGGAACTACCATGTCCAAGGAAGGCGTCTGCACATCAAATAAACGCGTGGCGTGCCTTTGGTTCACTTCAAAAACCTGCATGGAAGATTAATTCCTCACAAGTTTGTAATCTTGACTCGGAGAGCTTTCCGCTTTTCATGCAAGTCACTCAAACCACCCAGAAAGATGAAGTATTCTTAAAAAGAAAAGAAAACCTTCTATCAGCCAGTAAACGCCAGTATTGACAGGAACCACAACTTGACAGCTTTCGGGCGATAAAAAATGTAATGCCAATGAACCAACACACTTCTGACAGCAGTTGTCACACGATGCTATCCGTGAAAAAATGTCTACAACGTACATTGGAAAAAATGCGAAATGGGGAGGAGTGTGTTGGGAAATCGCACGTTGCATTCAGGCTATTAAATTACAGGAAGGTAAAGTCGACTGCAGTTGAAATCTCTCAAGATAACCGCTTTGCGTTAACTAATGAAATGAACGAGGAAGATAAGCGACTGAAAGGTGACAACGAAGGAGCAGAAGAAGACCACGAAGTTGAGGAAGTGGAGCAACACCTCCAGAAAGAAGGTTATATGTGTTTTTTTGTGAGGGCTAACGTTGTCTATTAGCTAGTGTCG